CGATTTCGAATGTATATCTTAACAATCTTCACAATCCCGTAATGCGCATACAGAAATATTTATTTTGATTCTATCATTTTCAATAAATAATAAAGAATAAATGAACAGGAAACAAATGAATTCCAAATGTTTGAGATGAGTTTTTTGCACTTTTCATTAAACGGTTATAAAGATTGTAGCGTTTTTCATTGAAATCATGAATCGATCAGTGTTAGGTCAATATTAGAAAACAAGAAGCACTGGACGACCTTTTCATACTAGAATGAGACTCATCAGCGGTGCGTATCTATGTCCGCGCTAACAGGAGTCGAAACCGGGATCTTTAATCTCGTAAGCGAACGCTTAACCCTAGGACCACTGAGCTCGCATTAAAATGAATTAATGTCACTTGCTCACTGGTGACTAGCTTTGTAAAGAAATTTTCGGAGTTCTGGTGAGAATTCCTGACCAGTGAAGTCCGACTTTATTGGATGTGGGGCAGTTGCCCAGTGAACACAATGAATGAGATTTCGTAATATCGTGGATTGATTCAAGTTACACATTAGCATCGTTGGTTACTCACTCACTGGTCTAGAGATTAATCATTCGTGTGGGAGATCGAAGATCCTGGATTCAATTCCCGCGGGCCAGGAAAGTGAATGTGCACTGCAGATGAGATCTACAGTAGGATGAAACGGCCGTCCAGTTCTTCTAGGTTTCTAATGGTGGTCTAACAGTGATCAGTTCGTGATTTTCTTTAAGTTACATGACTTTAATGAATGTCTATTTCATTTCAATTTTAACATGATATCAACTGTTAGAAATTCATAAGTAAATGATAGCGTTTGTACTAGTTTCTTCTGGATACATTATTCTAATTTTTCCAGATATATGTCATATATTTTGGAGATGCTGAGAAGATATAAGCCAACTGCCTTTGACAACTTTCCACTTACTTGCCTTATAGATGACTTTGAAAGCAGAATGCATTTTGAAAGAATGACCTTTGTTTACAAGGTGTTCAATTATGGTACTTCTTATTGAACCGGTTCTCATATTCTTTCAGACAATAAATTTGAAATCGAATTGTTCATAAATGAAATAGGAGTGTTAAACTTTCAAACAGTTCGTTCCTTTTATAAACTTCGTTGACTACGTTTAGTCTTTGTGGTAACCTCTAAATGGTAAAGAGAGAGATATAAACACTTTTCAACCGAATACTACACTAAAGCTTAGAAATAAGTGAAAACCAAAAAGCAGTCATCAAGAGAAAATATACTATGTTGCAGAGCTGGATATGATTGAAAGGACTAAGTCCACGATTTAATATTGTTCTAACGATTATATAATATCTCGTTGCATTTAACAATTTACATGTTTCTGTGGGCACATTAATAAACCGGAGTAATCGTACGTTGTAATCAAGGGTTATTAAACATGTTCCTAAGTGGCTTCAACATCAGTTAACCCGATAAACATGGGAGATAGAAAACTATGTTGATTGACTGCAAAACACATAATTAAGACAGCATAAAAATGACATAAAGACAGACTTCAAAACATTGTAGAGAATTGCTGATTGACGAATTCTGAGGTTTAAGGAAGCCGTAGCTATTCGGAAATTAAAAATCCCCATTTATATGTACAGAAAAAATTTGTGACAACCTTGAATTTACCCTAGTAATCCGTATGACATTTTATTGTCTACTGTAATGTGACAATTTCCTACCCTTTCTTATTCTTTTCATATGACGTTAATTTCCCCTCTCCTTCATTTACAATTATCACCTGATGTCTATTTGAACTTTTGTTCATAATTGACCTCTTATTAATTTTTACATAAAAATGCCTTGACAAGTGTTTATATATGTGACCAGATTGTTCGAAATGTATAGCGCGCAAATACATCACAACATTTTTCAGATCAATTACATCTACGGATCGTTGTTTCAAACATTGCACACCGAGTACATAGAAGACATATACTACCCTGAAGCAATTCAGACAAGCTAGCTGAACAAAACAGTGAAGTTATTTGAAAACACTAACAATCTTTGAGATTATCTATCAAATATCTATCAGATTTTTACAGATAACATAGAATTTCCTACCAACGCGTATATCCTGACGACTATTAAATATGTATAAGTTATCTTTGTTGTAATTGAAATCTATTCGAGAAGCACTGATAGACATTGCTGGTAATTGTATGGAATAAAATATTACCTGTCACTTACTTACTCTGGTTCATCAATTCATTCTTCAGTCGTGTATTTTGGTTGAATATGACTTAGTTTTTGTGTAGTGTACCTGAGTTGAGTATCCAATCCATTTGTAGTATAAACTCGATCAGCCATTAAATCTCTTTTTAGTGATCCTGGAAAGGAAAATATCTGAGACAGACAGACAGACAGACAGACAGATATAACGCAGAACTGCGTACGTATGTACATCAGTTCAGGTTGCCATGCCCCATCAGCACAGAAACGCAACTGTCAGTTCAAATCCAAGAGTGGTAGTGATAGTAGAAGTATTAACAGTAATGGAGAAGATTATGATTCGAAGATATGATTCGAGAAGTATAATTCAGTGAGATAAATTTAGAACGAGAAAGATAGAGATTATGAGGAATTCAGAAGCTTAGAATTTCACAGAACACAAACAGTTAAGAGATTGTGAAACGGTTCTAGCCTCTTATCTGATAGCTATTCACATATTCATTATGAACAAAACATCATGATCTACCATTTCGTTGCATATTCTATTTGATGCGCATGAATTCCAAAGGTGGCTAAGTCGTAACATTGTGGAACAACTATGAATCTGATTGGTTTTGCTGTGTGTGCGCGTGTGTTTGTGTGTACATAAAACTATCACTGTTTAAATAAAATATACCACAATAATTAAAACAATTAGTTCCTTGAATACATTTTGATTGAACAGTGAGAAGACGTGGTTGATTTGAGAAATGTGGTGATATATTTGCGTGCTATACACATTCCAAACAAACTAGTCACACACATATACTACATGTCAAAGCATTTTGATATGAAAATGAATAAAAGGTCACGCACTTATGAACAAAAGTTCAAATAGTAGACATCAGCTGATAATTGTAAATGAATGAAAAGAGAGAGGAAATTCAAGGTTATAACAAATTGTTTCTATACACATTAATGGGGGCTTTTATTTTCCGAATAGCTAAGGCTTCCATAAACCTCAAAATTCGTCCTTCAGCATTTCTATACAATATTTTGAAGGCTGTCTTGATGTCAATCTTATGCCTTGTCTCAATGATGTGTTTTATAATCGATGAACATGGTTTTCTATTTCCAACGCTAATCGGCTCATTCGACGTTAACTGATTTTGAAGCCACTTAGTTACTTGTTCCATAATCCTTGATTGCAAATTCCGATTATTCCTCCCTATGTATGTGTGTCCACACAAACATGTAAATTGATAAATACAATGGGATGTGATGTAATCATTCAAGCAGTGTTTAAGCTTATGTGGAATCATGGGCCTAGTCTTTTCAATTATAATCAGTTTACCAACATAGGATGTTTTCTCTATGGCTGATTTTAATCACTGTCCTAAGATTAAACCATTTGCCTCACCTCTAAATGGTAAAGTAATACCAATATTTTTCTTGTCAGCAGAATGAAAAATAGGCTTTTTGTTACGCTCGTCTCTAGGGGGGGCTTAAACTTTTACGAGTTCACCTGAGACGAATAACGAGAACAAAACAATTAACCAGCGTCCCGATAGGCTACTGTGATCCTTTGAACAAAAGGTACCAGCAAGAAGTCTTGAAATAGTCTAAAAATTGTATTCTACAAACACCCAGCCAGCACACAATCAATCCAAGCACACAAATCGCGTTTATTTATACTCTATAGAGACGTCCTTGGGACAGGCACAAAAATAGAATACTAAAACGACACAGTAACCAATCACAGCCAAGGATTTTCCTGGTGGGAAATGTGATCTTAAGGTCAACTGATCGGTCCATGAAATAAATCCAAAATAAAGATATTTATCAAGCGAGTTCTGGGGATCTGACATCCTCAACACTTTTGTCTTAACTGATTTCTACACCTATTGATGAACTTTAGTGGATAGCCGTTTGAAATCAATATTTCAGTCAAGAAATTCGCATCGTCTTTAAATGTATCCGTGGTGCAAATTGGTTGTGCTCTATTGAAGAGGCATTTTACCAAGCCTCGGTTGTGTTCCAGTGAACAAAAACTGCTGAAATGTAAATACTGACCAGTCCAGGTTAGCTTTTTATAAACTGACCCCTTTATAGTTGTTCCATTCTCCCGTCGATTCAACCGTAAGTCTAAAAAGAGCAATTGGTTAATACTTTCTGCTGCGTGGGTTAGGACAATGTCATTCTGAATACTATTGAAATGATTCAATAACTAATAGACATTGAATACTTTATTGCATATAACCAAAAAAATATCATTCATAAATCTATTGACCTTTTATTAATCTTCATATCAAATACCTTAACAAGTGTATAAGAAGTGTATGATCAGATTGTTCGAAATATGTATAGTTACGCCTTCTCACTATTCTTACATAATAATGTTAGCATATTAACTATACACTACTTATTGATTGATTAAAAAACTGTTTCGTACTTAACTACTCCACTTATTGTTTTGTCAACCAACAACTAGCCAGGTCATGAATTATGCCATAATTTGACTGAAAAACTTTCATAATCATTTAAACCAGTACATTATTTCACATATGCCAAAATTGTTAAGCAGCATTATATATATTTGTGGGGTTTTTAAAAAAAATGTTTTAATGCAAAACTTTTCGTTAATTTGAATTTTGTTTTTCGGTTAATATCAACATTTAAAACAAACTTTAAGGTCATTTCAAGTGAATTCAATTGTGATTGGTCAATTAATTAGTTTAACAATACACTTTATTTTTTTGTAAAACAACAAACAAACAAACCAATGGGCAATTTCTAATTGGTTCATTAATTTATTAGAATTGTTCAATGTTCACTGTTAAATAGTTGAGCGAAAAAAAATAGCGACACTTTGTAATCCAGTCAAAGAATGTCTGTAAATTTTTATGAACCTCATGTGTGGTAGTAGTAGTAGCAGTAGTGGTAGTAGTGGGAATGATCAATTTGAACGAATATATATATACCTATCTATAAACACATAAATACATGTATATACATATACATATAAATAAATATCTTCCACGAAAAATCACAGTTGGATAATATTTCCTTTCACAAAATATTTGTGACATTTACAACTATAAATTTTTATCAATTCACACGAGACGAGTAAAGGAAATTTTGTGCAAATTATTGATTTTGCTAACAAGTAAGTCTCTCTCGCTATTACGATTTTTTGGGTGTGTGTGCATGGGTAATTATTATTGTATTACGGGGTTGTGAAGATTGTTAAGTTACACATTTCTTGAAACCATGTATCGATCAATGTTAGACAACCATTAGAAACCTGGAAACACTGGACGGCCGTTTAGTCCTGGTATGGGACTCCTCAGCAGTGCACATCCACGACTCTTGCAGACCGCAGGATTCGAACCCAGGACCTTCGGTATTGTGCGCGAACGCCCTAACCCCTAGACCACTGGGCCGGTATCCAACGGTGTTAATGTCTAACTTGATCAAATTCACGGAGTTGTGTTGGACAGATAATGTTTCCCCAGACTTGAATACCTTCTACAAAAGTGTTATCATAATTTAGAATAAGCTATCTCTGACAAAATTTTTAGTTGAGCTCGTGAGATTATGCTTAAATTAACTCGAGTTAACTAGAGTTCATTGGAAGTTATATTATAACGTTTTTTTATGAATGAGGAAAATGCTTATTGAGTAACTTGATAAACCCAGTTTGGAAAGGTGTTGGAAACAGAAACTGTCAGGTAGATACTGCTTAACACTATACTAGTATGATTAATTTCAGTTAAATTTTGTTTGTTACTTGTGCCACCAACTATGATTCTCAGATTAACTTTACCCTTGAACCCCTTTTACAAGTAGTTTCAAATTTCGATTTATTCCTCTTTTGTTTGCCTGAAATTCTCAAACTCAGTGTATCCTTTCGTCTGTGTCTTTTCTTTTGGACCTGAGGTCTGTAAGTTGTAGCTTGCCTCGCGATGCGATCTAGTATTTTCCTCTCTGTGTGTTCTACCTATCTTCAAATTTTACCCTAATTCGTCCCTCAAATGAAATCTATTTTGTCCTCTCAGATGGAAACTGGTTTGTTTTGTTCCAGAGTAGGTTGTTGTTGATAATGTCTTTCAAACGGATCTGAATTATCCATTGTAGACAATTAACTGTTCATTAATACTTGATTCATTCGGATGATATTGTTACGCAAGTTGTCGCAGCCATTACCGGCAACCAGCGGGACCGTTTCTCTGTTGTATTATTTTGAACCCGCATGGCGGTCTGCACTTTCTAGCTTGGTTGCCGTACATCTGGTGATATCAGCATAACGTAGATGCTGCACATGTGCGAGAGCGTGATCGAGATTTGTCACGAGACCTACTTCGTGATCGTCTTCTTGGTCTCCCTCTCAGATTTAGCTTGGAAAAGTTTTGAGATAAAATGGCGAATCTCTTTTTCCTTTTAAATCTTCGATTTCAGTTTTAACTGTGTATGGTATGATGTATCTGTGGACAAGTTCAACAATGATAAAAAGTATAAGATATATGTGAGGTGCTGATACAATATCTTTCGCCGTTTTCGAAGTTTAAATTACCCTTCTTTTTGACATCCTGTGTCTTTACGTTACAACTATTGTGTACCGATCACCACCCGAATTTCAGCGTAAATAATAATTTTTTTCAGTAAAGCTAAGCAATGAATTTTAATTATTTTTTAAAATTGTAATGAACATTGAAACAAAGTTTTTAACAAAATAAGAAATTGCACCATCATTCATTCGTTTTCAGTTTTAAATAATTCGTAAATAGTTTTACAATCCGCTGAAATAATCGAATTGCTTGTAAATAACAAGTTACTTACTTACTTACTTACTAACTTGGGCCTGTTACTCCCAAATGAAGCATAGATCGCCGACCAGCATTCTCCAACCTTCTCTGTCCTCGACCTTCCTTTCTAGATCTATCCAACTGTTGTTCATTCCTCTCATGTCTGTTTCTATTTCTCGACGTAACGAGTTCTTTGGTCTTCCCCCTTTGTCCTTGAGGGTTCCAAGTGAGGTCTTGTCTTGTGACGCAGTTAGTTGCTTTTCGTAATGTGTGTTATGTCCACTTCCATCGCTTCTTCCTGATTTCTTGCGCAGCTGGGTATATAACAACATTATTATACATATGTGTTTAGATTATTGATATGATGAAACAATAAGAAGTGGCTTAGAGAGAAGGCCATTTGATGATGACCATCAGAAAATGCTCTGAAAGATAAATACATATATACACACTAGTCAAGAAATAGCTTCATAGGGAAGTAGAAAAAGATAAGTATTTGTACATGTGTTACGATAACCGACTAGGCATTTTGTTCTTATCTTTCCTTCTCACTGAAGTAACTAATCTAGGCGGTGAGGAAGTTCATACGTATCATCTTCACATCTCCGACACCAAACAACTTGACAAATATACATTCAAAATTTTTCACATATTCAATGTACTGTATAAAACAGCTATATATGATTTAAATTTGAATTAATCTAAAAATTGTTCGGAATGTTTATAAATGACTTAGAATGTAGTTGTACTACTGATTTATTGATTTATTCTAAGACATCGATGATCGAAGACTAGTAACCTACAGAAGTCTTCTACTCCTAACGGCCATGTTTCACATCCATAGAGTAGGACGGAGCGAACTGCTGCACAGTACACTCGTCCTTTAGTCAGCAACGGATATCTTGCCTGCACCATAGGTAACGCAGGTTGGCAAAAGTCGATTGAGCCTTATGAATCCGAGCTGAGATTTCGTCAATCACCAGACCATCAGAACTGATGAGGCTCCCAAGATAAGTGAAGTGATCAACACGTTCGACTACTTCACTCACTATCACTAGTTCAGGTGCCGATGCAACCCAATCTTGAAGCAACATTTTGCATTTCGGCAGGGAAAACCGCATCCCGAACATGCTTGCATTGTTGCTTATGGTAGTCAGAAGACTCTGCATTTTGTCAGCGTCTTCACCGAGTAGGACTATGTCATCGGCATATTCTAAGTCAATAAGCGAGCCACCTTGTAAAAGGTCTACTCCTGAAAATTCAGACGAGGATAAGGTTATTTCTAGGAGCATGTGTATGATAAAATTAAACAAGAATGGAGAGAGTGGACATCCCTGACGGACATCACTTGAAGTAGAGAATTTCGGTGACAGTTCGCCATTAGCTCTCACTCGACCAGTGGTGTTTGAGTAGAGAGCTTGTATGAGGTTAATGTACTTCTTTGGTACACCTTTCAATGACAGACACTGACACAGAACCTCACGACCAATGGAGTGGAATTCCGCTTTAAGGTTGAGAAATACTGCTATTATGGGGCGTCTGAATGCGTTTCTGTGTTCCAGGACTTTGAATTTTGTACTTCAACATTAGAGAGTGTATAGCAATTAGTTAAGTGCCAAAGGCTATTGGTAATCTAATATCCTCCACTGTGTCAAATATAACCAAATGAATAGCGTCTTAATGATATTGAAGTTAAGTGTTGATCTCAGAACATGAAAACATTTTTTTGGTCCGAACCCAGATGGTGTTTTGGGTATGTAATGTTAATTTCATTGCATATAAAAATTAAAACAATTGTTCAGATATTCTTGGCAGTTCAACTAAATTGAACAGTATAATACAGTTACCATAAAATGTCTTTTATAACATTACAATCAAGGGTTATGGAGCGTGTACCTAAATGGCTTCAAAATCAGTTCACCTGATTAGCGTGGGAAATAGAAAACCATGTTCCTGGAAACACATAATTAAGACAGGGCGTGGGATCTACAATTTTCCTCTTTAGAAAAACACATAATTGAAACTGGGCCTAAGAATGGCAGCAAGACAGCATTCAAAATATTGTATAGACATGTTGAAGGATGAATTTTGAAGTTTACGGAAATCTTGGTTATTCAGGAATTAACTCTACCCCCTTCATGTGTACAGAAACAATTTGTTATAACCTTGAATTTATCCTGGTAATCTTTACGATATTTTATGGCCTAATGGGTAATGTGACAGTTTTCCTACCCTTTCTGATTCTTTCTATATTACGTTAATTTTCTCTCTCGCCTTCATTTACAATTATCACCTGATGTCTATTGGAACTTTGATTAATTTTCATATAAACTATCTTGACAAGTGTATACATGTGTGTGACCAGACTGTTGGAAATGTGTATAGCACGTAAATTTATATCACAACATTTTTCAGATAAGTGACTTCTTTTCACTGTTCTATCATAATAGAAACTACTGAATAAAATACACTATTTTAATACGCTAAAATGCATGCAATCAAAATTTAAACTCATATATTTAATTTTTAGTTGAACAGTTTTATGTGATACAGAGTAATAATACTAAATAGATTGAGTAAAATGTAGTCAAATCATTTAACCAGTAAATTGAAATCATCAATCAATCATTGTTAGACCACCATTAGAAACCTGGAAGCACCGGACGGCCGTTTCGTCCTGGTATGGGACTCATCAGCAGTGGGCATCCATGACTCCTACACCTCGCAGGATTCGAACTCAGGACATTCAGTATTGTGCGCGAATGCCTAAACATCGGATCACTGAGCCGGCACCCAACGGTGTTAATGTCTAACTCTGATTGATCTACTCATTTTGCGCGACCTCACCCATTTGTCTTTGTCAGTTACTGCCTAAACCCGACATGGTTGAACTCCATTGGTCACGTCTTCTCAACTAGAACTCCGAGAATTTCCTCACAAAGCTAGTCACTAGCGAGCATTGTTACGATATTTTGGGGCAGAGTTTTGGATGTTTGTGTTTTTACACATTTGAAATCATCAATGAATCATTGTCGTGGATGCGCACTGCTTATGAGTCCCATACCAGGACGAAACAGCCATCTTTCAGTGCTTCCAGGTTTCTAATGGTGGTCTAACAATGACTGACTGATGATTTCAAATGTGTAAAAACACAAACCTCCAAAACTCTACCCCAAAATAAACTGATTATCATTTACTGAGATAATTTAATTTTTTTTAATCGGAATCATGAATCAGTCATTGTTGGACGATTTCTGTAACCTTACAATGAAACGTATCATGTGCTTACAAGTGACTAGCTTTGTAAAGAATATGCACCGAATTCTAGTGAGAGAAGTCGTGACCAGTAAAGTTCAACTGT